CCCCCCCCCCCCCCCTTTTAATATCTAGCTTTAATATCACTTTAAAATATACGCAGGCACAGAGCATGTAGATCCATCCACTTCCAAATTGAGGTCAAAATTTTGGTTAGAAACTATATATTGTGTTTATGAAAGCCTACTTTTTGTGATGGGTGTTTAACATTTTCTATAGATTTGGGGCAGCAGTGTATGAGACATAAGGTTAAAAAAAAATCTGCTTAACATTAATTTGATGCAAATGTAGATGAATTACAAAAAAAACAACAAACTAAAATGCAAAGAACTTTTTTCTTTTTTTTAATGGTAATTTTGGGCCGTTTACTGGGAAGCCATCTTTTACTTGTTTTGGGGTGTAGTCTGTCGCTGCTTGCAGTGTTTTTGACAGTTGGGGGTCTATTTATAAACAAGTAACAGAGCCATTCGCCCTGCAAATCTCTGACAACGTTTGTTCTGTGTGAATACAGGCAAAAACCTTTTTTGGGATATATTTTGCACATCAGCTATCAGTTGTCATGTAAGGTAACAGACTAATTCTGTGTTTGCTCAGAGCTAATGTTTACCAATGTCTGATATGAGGTGATGTGGAAAATGGAACAATAGTTAAAGTGCAATAGCACAATCATAGTGTTGCAAGGGAATAGGTTAAGGCAGTGTTTGTGTGTGTGTGTGGGTTTTTTTTTCCATGCATTACAAATGTTTTAGGTCAGTGGTGGCGAACCATGGGAATTGTAGTTCCAAAACAGCTGGAGTGCCAAGGTTCGCCACCCCTATTTTAGGTTTAACAATATAATCTGCTTTACCCGCCCAGTTTGTGAAATTAAAGGATATCAAAACCCAAACATACAAAAATTTAATCTATTGCACCTTACCAGTTCCTATGTGTTGCGGCTGCATTTGTTTTCTAAGGATAAGAACATTTTCTGCAAGTACAGAAGCATACCGGTTTATCTTGCCAGAATTCCAGGGTCTTTTGTAACTAATGTTATCTGTTTTCCCAGCAATTTTCTGTGAACTTAAAAAATCCCAGTATCCTACATCACTAAGAGGAAGAAAAGTTTATAGTTCAAACTAGGAGAGGAGCTTAGTGTAGCAATACCTTGCTACTGCACAATTTTGTTCTGCGCAGGACAACACAATAGCGGGAATTTATCAAAACTGGAGCAGACAAAATCTGGAGCAGCTGTACATGGCAACCAATCAGTTTCCATCTTTTATTTTCAAGCTTAACTAAACAAACCAAAGAGAGAAGCTGATTGGTTGATATGGGCAACTGCTCCAGATTTTGTCTGCTCCAGTTTTGATAAATTCCCCCCAATGAGCCTATGGATCTGTACATTTAAGTGGGCTATAGCGCTGGTGTGTTGCAGTGCACTGTAGATGTACATTTGAATGAAATTAACTTTGCTTCGCAATGCATATCTACAATGCATTATAATGACATGCTTTACAATACCAGTTCTGACTCGTGTGATGGTGTAAAGGAGCCCTTAGTGTTCACTGTAGCGCAGTAACTTTGTAGCAAGAGCTAGCAGCAGGGGCTAAACTGTGTAGGACATCATGTCTACACACAACCAGGAGCATAAAACACACCAAGACCTCCATGTCTGTGACTTCTATGGGAAGGATTTTGGTTCTGGACACTGGATGATGTCTCAACAAAGAAGGTGCCAGACGTCAGGGGAGAAACCAAAAGTATTGTCCAGGTTGTTGTGGAGGTCCCATGAAGTATTCCAAGACTGACAGTTACAGGCATGACTCCCAGAGGCAGAGGTATGTTGGGATTTGCCAGTAAAGCACAGCTGGAGGGCCAGAGTTGCCCACCCCTGCTCTACCCCTTTAATAAACACGGTAATATAGCAGCTGTAAAGCTATTTTTAGTGCCAAAGTAAAGTTCCCAGGATGTTTAG